GGCACCCCGGTGCGGTGCGGGCAGGCCATCCGCCTCACCCACCTGGGCACCGGCCGCAACCTCCACAGCCACCGCTTCGCCTCCCCGCTTTCCGGAAACCAGGTACCCGCCGGCTGTGACCGGCAACACCGGGACCAACCGGGGATCGACCCTTATTCCCCCCGGGACCAGCCCCTTTCCCCGGGTACAGCCCCCCTTGTCACCCCTGGGTCCCTGCTGGGTCTCCCTGTCCTTGCCCGTCCCAGCCGGGTCCCCCTTGTCCCTACCAGCACTGCCTCGACTCCCCTGGTCCCAGACGGGTCTCCCGCATCCCTGCCAGACTTTCCTTGTCCCCCAGTCCCTGCCTGTCCCACCCGGGTCCCCCTTGTTCCCCATCTCCCTACCAGCACTGCCTCGACCCTCCCAGTCCCAGACGGGTCTCCCATGTCCCTGCCAGCCTCCCCTTGTCCCCCAGTCCCGGCTGGGTCTCCCTGTCCTTGCCCATCCCAGCCGGGTTCCCCTTGTTCTCCATGTCCCTACCAGCACTGCCTCGCCCCTCCCAGTCCCAGACGGGTCTCCCGCATCCCTGCCAGACTTTCCTTGTCCCCCAGTCCCGGCTGGGTCTCCCTGTCCTTGCCCATCCCAGCCAGGTCCCCCTTGTTCTCCATGTCCCTACCAGCACTGTCTTGACCCCCGGTCCCAGACGGGTCTCCCTCCCCTTGTCCCCCAGTCCCTGCTGGGTTTCCCTGTCCTTGCCCATCCCAGCCAGGTCCCCCTTGTTCTCCATGTCCCTACCAGCACTGTCTTGACTCTCCGGGTCCCAGACGGGTCTCCCACATCCCTGCCAGCCTCCCCTTGTCCCCCAGTCCCTGCTGAGGTCTCCCTGTCCCTACCAGATCCCCCTTGTCCCCTCAGCACACAATCCCAACCAAACTCTCCAAGTCCCAACAGACCCCCAGTCCCAACCAGGTTCCTCCACCTTGTCCCCCAGACCCAGCCCTTCCCTCTGCGCCCAACTCGACGCCCCGGAGCACCCCCTCTCTTCATCCCAGCCCCAAAACGAGCTCTGTGTCACC